ATAATTTCTAGATATGTTTCCTTAGTAGATTGATCCCCCACCCACTTCCCCTCAAGAGACACACATGACCTACAATTAAAGACAAATGCATTATAGATTGCATGTAACCAGCTGATCTGAAATAGTGTTGTAGAAATGTCACTGCAAAAATGAAGTGTCATGAAGCCTGTGAAAATTAACTAGCAAAACAAAAACCTGTCCACCATTGCAAAAAAATATATAATAAAGCTATCATTGTTATCAACCTCTTTAGCAACTGTTTTTTTATTTGGTGGCCTGGAAAACTATAATTTAAAAAGAAAGAGTGACACCTCACCTTTGCAAAGTTTCTCTATTCCGATTTGGCTAATAACATTTTCTCACAGATCAGCTGTGAAGAGGAAGGTAGTCCATCAAATTTCACTTGGGGCCAGCATGAGACTATACTAGTTATTATTCTTATTATTCCATCCAGGGGATGTCTTCTCCAAAAATAACTAGGATCATTAACATATACTTYAACTTTTCTGCTTTTCAAATCTCAATTCACCAATATTATCAYTATTTGAGACAGGAGTTAATAACAGTGAGTCGTATATGATACCTAACCCCCAGGTGTCATAATACTGACCACCTGTAGAGAAATTGTTTTTCATCTTAATTTAGGTCAAGTTAATTAACATGGATAACAGTTTTCTATAACGTATAGGCCTAGTGTAATTTTAATTGTAAAACTTAGTAGAACTAAAGTATCAAATTTCAAATCATGCAACATTCAACCTGTTAGGTTACTTAATGATTTTGATGAAACCAATGAAGGTGAAAACATGCAACATTCAACCTATTAGGTTATTTTATGATTTGGTTATACCAATGTCTAAAATTTGAGATATAATTAAGAGATATAAATTASCAAACATTAATATGTCAAACAATTTTTTTAACCTGATTTTTTTTTTCTCCTCCTAGTAAATAGACACCAATCGTAAATATGCATAAAATGCTAACTGGGAAATACAATAAAAACTTGGAACATCAATACATCAGACACAGCTGTTTCMTCTCTATGTTTTGTGAATAATTCATTATTTAACTTGACTGCGTATCTCGGATGGTATACTTTGTATCAAAGCAATAAACACTAGATACATTGTAACAGAACATGCATGAAGGAACAGTCAAAAATAGTTGAATAAGTGTAGTAGAGTGATTTTACTTCGCCAGTAGAAGAAAAGTTAACTACTTGAATTGATTTCAAATCTGCAATCTTAGTTAGTTCATAAATTACCTTATTTTATCATGAGCTTTTAATTTCGTTAAGCACTGAAGGTTAGAAACGTTGACGTAACTCACTAGACTACTTYGTAATTTCCTCTAAGATTTAAAGTTGAGCATATAAAAAAGATAACAGTTTAACAAAGAAGTAAACAATGATGTTCTTTCTATGCTAATATTAATTTAAAACAGCATATTTAGGTGTTCTGTACCCCTCATGTGGTGATGGGACTGCTGATTTCTTTAAAATATTGTATTTCGAACTACAGTCAATAGGCAAACAAACCTTTTAAATTCCTGAAGATAAATATTGCTTTTACAGCAAATTTATCCTAATAAGAGATACATGTATGTTTTTTAAAATATTATCGATAGGTTATATCTTCAAGGGTTTCATGTTTTTTTTTGGAGGTCTCAATCTTTAAATAATAGAGTTGGAATCTAAAAGAAWTTTTTTCAAATAACAAAAATATATTTTCCTAAAAGAAATATCCAAAAGAATGATATATACCTAAGTTCCCCCCCCAAAAAAATATTTTACCTCCAAAATGTTACAATTATTGCAACAATAACTGTTTTAACCCARTACTCACACATGGTTATATCCCACTAAAGTTATTGAAGCAATGATCAACTAACAATGTGTGTAGAATCTTTTATAAATGTAAGGTGCTAGATTGGATTACACTCTACGATTATCAAAAAATTTTGRCATACAAAACTTATATTTTGAAGCTTTTAGACTAATATCTTTARCATGTAGGATTAAAAATAGTCTGGCATATATTAAATCTGTTTACTAGACTAAGAGTTTGCTTACTATAACAATTACTGCACCAGATCAACTTCGACAAAAAAAATAGATGTGGTCTTAAAATTCTCATAATATAATTTACAAAAAGGCAATGCCTAATTTATGTTTAAAATGAAAAATAAAACTGATAGCGGAACATTTATAAAAGTCTACGAGTTTTGTATTAATGAAAAGATAAAAAATGTTCTGAAATAAAACAGTGTTATAAGCTTAAGTTACATGTGATAATAAAATAATAGTGAAATCTATTCAAATCTACACGGGAAATTGACCTAAGAATGTATATGTAAGTTAAAAACAAATATAAGGGGATATACTAACATGGGTAAAAACCTATCAGACATTACCATTTGGGATATAGTTATTAAAATACGGCCACAAGTGTTTGTCCTAAAATGCTATAAGCTTATACTTATATATATACTAGCTTGATTATCTTCTTTCATCATTTGCAATTCGAAAGTTTTTGTAGAACGGTGGATTTATGAGATCGTGAAGACGAAATCTGTCTCGAATGTGTAGTCGAACATCCTCCTTACGGCTTACAAGCTCTTCCAGAAAGGGCAATAATTCTACTAATTCCCGATCGCTTTGGTCAACAAACCAACTTTCAATAGGAATACCGTTGAAAATATGATAAGCGAATGCTTGGGGAGAATTATCAACTATCATTGTTTTCGACAAATCCCGTCCCAGGATACTTAAATCCTTGATATAGTTCCCTTGTACACATACACAATGTTCACGGAAAAGACGGTGACGAAAGTACTTTCTGTCTGGATCCAAAATGTTGAGAAGCTTGTCGGCGTAAACTCGCTTCGAAGCCGTAAACAAAATCACTTCGAACAACTGGGAAACTCGCTCCAGAAAATACTTCAGATGTGGTCTCGTGCGAACGAAAACTTGGTAAGAGATATTTTGATACAAAACCGGGAACGAGAGAGTGGCATCTTCGAGTTTATTGAGGCTGCAGTGGACAAGGGTTTCATCCAAGTCCAGAACGAGACTCAACTTCGGGGTGCTTCTTGTCTTCAAGGGAAGAACTGGAGGACGATTTCTCATCTCTTCGGACAACGGCGGCACTGTACGGATAAAGTAAAATGGATCGAACGTCTCCCAATCGGCACCCTCATCTTCTACGTTACCATTCACATCGCCATTGGGTAAAGCAGCTCTACTATCTTCGTTCACGCTTGGTTGTCCCTCTTGCTTCACTACGACGCCATTACACGGATCACGAATTTTAGTCGTCGAACTAGCAACCACKTTGGATGAATCGTTGCCAAAGCTCTGTACTTGACCATTCTTGGCAAACAAAGTAAAAACCGGAGAAAACAAAGTTCCTAAGAGAGATTTTCTTTTTGGACTGGCCTCTGAAGTGGCTGTCTCTGAATTTGTAAAAGAAGAAGATGTAAATTTACTTGTACTTGGAGTCTCAGTAGTAAATTTTCGTTTCTTCAGAAGATTGGAAGTTATGATCGCGTCTTCTTCTTCGTCTTCAATGTCATCATCATCCTCTTCCCTCGGCCTTTTCCGAGAACAACCATTCTCTTCCCTCGAGGGAGACGACCATAGGAAAGTCTTAATAGAAGTCAATAAGTTTTGGCCTGGAGTAATTGAAGTCTCGTCGTTTCCCGCTTGTTTCGCCATTTGTATTCGACTTGGATTTTTAGATCTTTTTCTTCTCGGCATATCACAGTTTAAACCATATTATTACTTACTGCGTTGTCCGTGAACACAATAAATCCTTCCCTTTACGCTGGTTTAGAGTTCCTGAATGGACGTAGACTAGAATTTCCAAGTCCTAGTAAAGTGCTGGTCGACGAGTTATAGTATAGTAGACAGTGATGACAAGTCAGTGTGGTGTATGGTTGATTGCACATTTTATGCAAATGCRGAAAACAGGTTTACAATTTGCATACTGGTTTCAGCCAGAGTTTTTTTCTACATGTGGGTTATTTTCAAGCGGAAAAGTCTCTWAGATTTTCATAGATCCTTGATCATTTTTTTATTCATTCGTAATTTCTTAGAATCAATTCATTCTTTCTTTTCTACTAGCTTTTTTAGCAGCGAAAATTGWTTGAGTAATTGGGTCACGTGAAAACCGGAATCAACACCAACCGGAAGTAAAATAACTTGCCAAAGGGTAGAAAAWAAAGTTGAACTATTTTATGTTCGGATCTCGTTTCAAGACAAAGAAAAGCAAAATTATAATCCACTGGAGCTTGGGTAAACAAATGTAAAGAAATAAGTTAAAATATAGGAAAGAGTTCCGAACAACCATCCTTAGTTTTTCCTCCTCTCCTATCATGTTTTACCGCGAAAAAAGAAAATCACCCGCATGCACCCAAGCATCACTGAAAGTAATCTACACCTTTGCACCAGATGTTTATAAGTAATTAAAACATTTTTATATTAAAATTTGCAAATGAATAAGATCGAATGTTCGATAAGGTCGTTGTAGTCACAACATCTACTCAGTAAAAACGAGACGGGGGAAAAAACTATCACTTTTTTATGAAACAGTTAACTAGAAAAATCAGTCTGTTGGTACGTTGTGTGATTCTAGTTGTTTTCCCTTCATTGCTTGCAGGGAATCTTATTTTGATAGCGGTGATCTAATAAGCGCAGACAGAAACGGGCACAACTTCCAAACTCATTTCCGGTTAGTTTAATTTGGGGCATTAATGCTCTTGTAGTTTCTATAAATGAGAGTTTGGATATTGTACCTAATACTAAACAAAGGTCTGGGATGTGCTGGGGAAGCCAGATGATAATATTAAAAATCACCTAGCTCCCTAACTTGAACGTTCATAAATTATGGGTTGGAGGAAGTGGGGGTATTGAAGTTCGTAGGAGCGGATAACGATTATTGGGGGGGGGGGTGGGGGGCTATCAAAAATATTTTTGATATTTAAGATATTTAGTGTCTACTTAAAGTCGTTTTTTTCCCTTTCGAGTCAACAAAGCAACTRAGGTCTAAAAGGTTCGTCGTCAGACCCATTTCAGCGCTAGGCGCCRAGCTATTTTCACAGTTAAAAACAAATTAAAGTCGCTTTCAGCAAATCTGAGGCAGAGCATCATAAAATTGTATTTAATTTTAAGAGAAATCAAGAAACCATCGTTAAATGCTTGTTTTTTATTAAGAAAGGAACACTACTACAAATAACAGTATTACATCTGAAGYTAGCTCCACTTATAGTTTTTAACTAACTTCGTCATACCAGATACTGTTTGTTTTTTAAGTCGACTAATGTTAAAGAAATTCGTCCAAATAAAGATTTCAAATAAATATCATTGAATTAAATCACATCAGTGACACAAGTCTTATCCTAATCCTAAAACGGACTAAAGCAGACGTCACAGAACCCGCATTAAAGCCACCACTTTGCCAAATCAGGCCACGATATAATAAAAGAATAGGAAATCAATTATTAAAAAAAAAATAGTTGCTAAATTTTATGACGAGCGCCTTATCTTCCTTGCGGCAGCTCTACATGTAGAAATAAACTTAAATACTACTAACACATAACGGGATAAAGTTTATCTAATCAAATTAAAGGGTTAACTAGGTTTTTTGTCGTTTAKACATTTCCATGTGGACCGGTGCGGGTTCCATAACATGCGTTTCACAAAACGCGGGTTTGTCTGAAAGGAAAAAGAAAAGAAATGAAACATTAGCTCAATTACGAATTTTTGCATTCCCAAAATTTGAAGAGATAGAATGGTAACCAGTTTGACCCGCATGGGATTCTGGACCTWAAAGTATTTCCGCCATTTTGTGCCTCTCAAATTCACCAACAGAAATCACCGTATTGCGGTCACCGGGGATATGGCCTGAAAATTTCTATTTACGTTTTCACGAAAATGGAAGAATGAGAGAATGGGAGAAGGAAATGAGAATGAGAATAAATGCAACTTACCATTTTCAGCACTTGTGGAGCTCRTTGATCTTGCAGATGGTACGTCCCTCACCTACTTGTCCACGTGCRCAGAAGCATTCCTTGCACATATTCTGGTCCCTCTTGATTTGTTCTTTCAAGACCTTGAGGTAGCTTGCGTTAAAAGGACGATAGGCTTTATCACGATCATCAGAAGCAAAGAATGTTATTCCAAACATGGATCCCTTGGTGTTCTGCATAAGCTCGACATATTCACCTCTTGGTAGAGGGACACCTCTGATCGAAGGGCCTTCCAGTTTTCTGTAGATCATTCGTCCAAGGTAATCTTGTCCCATCTTTTCTCCCCTAAACTTTTGGTATTTGCCAATGATGTTAAGGGTGATGTCACGCATTTGAAGCTTCTTGGTCATGCGACGGAGGCATGGAGCGTTGGGGTTGGCAAAGCGCTCTGAGGTGGTAAACAGGACTAAGATCTTGGTTGATGCTCCTTTGAATGGATAATGGGCGGCTTTGGCGATAGCTTCAAATCCATCGGTCTCGTTGTCCATTGTGTTGGAGAATTTAAGGTGGTCAATGGAAGACTTGACTTCTTCAGCGCTGCCAAAATACTTTCCGTTGATRGTGACTGGGTGTGGTCGGAGATGGATGCCCTTTCCACCAAAGCTGACGAGACCAAATCGTAAAGAATATCCTTGCAAAGAGCGTTGGAGTTCACTGATGTGTCTTGGGATTTGTTTAGCAAAAGCTCTCATTCCTTGGGTCTCTGGTACGATAAGGATCATGTCTATGGTTTTATCGGCTGATTGGAACCATCTTGAGCCCATCTCRTGGTTATTGCATCGTCCTTAAAAAAGGGGAAAAAAGGAATTTTTAGCGTCTCTCAAATTCACTCTGAATGTTTCTCTCGAATGAACTCTCACTCAGTGTTATTTTTTGCCAGTCGATTTGCACACACTCAACTACTATCGAAAAAAGAGTCGCAGCTTACCACATTCTGGCAGATGATCAACCCAATGTCCTTTCATTTTCAATAACTCGATGTATGCAGCAGTAGTGTTACAGTGCTTCATGTCCTTAGGAGTGCCGCATTCACTGTAGTCAATTTCGCAGGCTTTCTTGAAGGGTCGTGGGTCGACAATTTTAAAGAATGGAGAGAAGGGCGATTTAAGGTCAGCGAAGATCTCCTTGCAGCGACTTGCGTATTTGGTTATGCACTAAATATGGAAATCATAAAGAAAAAATTCAGAAAAAAGTACAAAAATATATATATTTAATATATAATGGAAAATTAAAACTTACCTCTTTTGGTTTGGATTGTTTGGATTGTTTATTAATGCGGCATTCTGCTTCCTTGGTAATCTCCCAAGAATTGACAAATTCRATCACATCCTTTGAGATCTTGTTGGTTGACATCATCATCTCGTCATGGTGTTCATTGTTGTTGGTTCCAAGAAGACCTGAATAAAATTAAAAAACATATTAMAATATTAAAGTCTGTAAATGCCCTCGCAAATAGGAACTTTGTTGGGTAAACAAMGGTGCAGAAATTTAGCTCTTCATACCTGCAAGACGTCCATGGTACCATCTGGCAATGTTGAACGTACACAAGTTATGGTCAACGTCGCAGAGGATTTCAAGGCCAAGAGTATGTCTGAGGATAATGTATGGACCTTCTCTGGCAACTGTCATGTTAGCACTCTGRACTGGGAGTTCACTGTCGTATCCATCACGGATCTTCACGCCTTCTGAGTTGATYTTGGTCATGCTCTCGACACGTCCGTCAGAGTGGATCTAGAAAAAGCAAGAGTCAATTAGTACGTCGTTTCAAAATTCTTGCTTTTAGATTTAAGGAAGCGCAATGTCAGAAAAGGCTAGTCCAAAGCAAACTATAGTAAAGGGTAGGTTAGCATTTCTAAATACCTTGACGTTGGCATCATCGGTTATRAGGAGAAGTGCTTTTTCCTGACTCATGAGCGTAAACTTGTTATCCCGTACATCGCGCGCCAGTACGTAAGTACAACGTTCGTTTTGGTAACCGGGGAATCGGAAGTACGTGCCGTCGAATGTGTACACGTGGGGTTTTCCAAAGATCATAGCAGTGCCTGGAAAAATAGAAGAAATACAATTTAATATAAATTCAATTTTATTTATTTATTTTTTTCGTTTGCGTTTGAAATTTGTAAATCTCCTCATAGTGTGGCGAATTATAAACTAAACTGAAATATTTCATTGACTGGAGGCCAACATATATCAAAAATAATAATTATTCACAAATCTTTGAATCTAACTTACTATTGAAAGGTGGAATCCATTGACTTGGSCTCAGCTTATTTTTTAAGTAGTTAAGCCTGTGGGACATTCTTCGGAGCCAGTATTTCTTCAAGTGATGGAAGTGGCGAGCACGACTGCTCATGATCTTCATTGAGTGTCCGTAGTACTTTCGTGCGTGGTGCAAGTACTCCTTGGTCAGATTGTGCTCCAAGATGTTCTTGTAGAGGGCATGAAGGGTATTGTTTAGCTGTCTGTACTTGATCATGGTCTCCTTGTAGAGAATTCTGTACAGCTTGACGGTTTCGTTGTACGCCTTGAGTGAGTGKTTGCGTGCCTTCATGAGAGCTTCTCTCAAGCAGGTCGAGTTGTAGACATCCATTGAAATGTTCCAGGCCATATTTGCAACCTCCATGGTGAAGTTACGAGCTGCGCTCACACCAATCTTGCACATATCCCTAGTCATGTTGAATGCCTTGGGTGCATAGATCTTGGCCATCTTGGCAATCTTTGTGATGTTTACTTTACCGACGAAATCGCGAGTGATGTTGAAGAAATGGATAGTGGTGTTCAGGTACTCTTGAGCGATGGYGTTGTTCCTGGTCATTTTGTAAAGGTTCATGACAATGTTTCGGGTCTTCTGCGCAATTACTACCTGATGACGAGCAACAGTCTGTTTCATTTCAGAGTACTTGATCATAGTTTTAGCAGCGAKCTTACGGTAGTGCTTCATTGTCTCATTGAAAGCCTTCAGGGTGTAGTTTCTAACCTTCATCAGGGCGTGCCTTGGATTAGTCGAGTTGTAGATATCAGCGGAGATATTCCAAGCGACATTGGTCACCTTCATGGTGTACATGCGAGTGGTATTAWAACCGCTCTTGAGCATCTCTTTGGTCATGTTGAATGCAATAGGTGCATATGATTTGGTCAGGTTTGCCATCTTGGTGAAGTTCAGCTCGCGGATGTATTGACGAGTTGCATTTAAGAAGTGAAGTGTGGCGTTCACATATTTCTTGGCAAGAGGTCGGTATCTGATGTTCAGATCACGGATGTAATCGCTGGTGATGTTCAAGACATAAATGGTGGAGTTCAGATATTTCTTCGTCATGGGGTGGTTCTTCACCATGTTGATGAGCATCTTAGTGATATTCTGAACCTTTCTGTAGGCCTCTGTCTTAAGAGCAGCTTCTTTCCATTGCTTAGATACGTTCAGTGCTTTCAATGCGTAAATCTTTGTTGCGTTGATTGCGCGACGGGTCATGTTCTTTGCAGTCTCGGGCAGCATTTTCACCTTGTTGCAGGCATCCTTGCAAATGGATACAATGTCACCAGTCACAGGTTTGGGATGAGGGATGATGATGGTGATGACACCTTCGTCAATGCGGAAGTAGTTTGGAATGGCATTTCTAACCTTCAYCATCGTGGCATTGAGAGAGCGAACTTTGTAGTGTACATATCTGAAAAAATAGAAGACAATATCAAGATCATTGTAAATATTTCGGTTGAAACGCGAAAATTTAATAAAGAATAGCCGAAACGTCATGTTTTATAAAATGTACGTGTTTTACCCGAAATATTTATAATTACTAACATGTCCAAACGTGAATATAAAAATCAAAAATTATCTAAAAAATATTAAGGTAGATATTATATTTACGTATAGAATATATAATGCCCAAACTTTACTCGAGACATTTGCATACCTGATCGTTTTATTAACCAAATCAAGAGTTCCATAAGCTGAATCTTTCATCAATCCAGGGAGGCTCAACATGTATCCTTCAGAGTGGTTTTGTARCATCTTGTATTGCTGGTGAAGGTCTCGGTGGAATTTCTCGGAGTGGATTTGGAATTTCTGGTAATGATAGTTCACGCGAGCACGGATGGTCCTTTCGATTCCATAATAATTGTTCAAGAAGATTGCCGTTTCGATTATTTCATTTTTGGTGAAGTTCAACACAGGAACGGCGGGCTTCATGAATTGTGATGCGATCTTGATGGTGCTGTTGACGAAGTTAACCATAAAAGCTCTTGTTACGTTCAGCTTCTTAAGTCCTTGCTTGTACGTTTCAATTGAGACGTTCATCAGCTTGTTAGACGATTTGACGGTGAAGTTGTAAGCAACRATGTAAGCTTGCTTGATCTTGATGGCAGATTGACGTGGTGTCATTTTGCTCACGTTGCGAAGAAGCTCGACGGTGAAGTTGAAGCTCTTGATGGTAAAGTTGTATGCCTTGCTGTTGATGGTTCGGTTGTAAGCGAGTTTGGTCATGTTGTTGCTAAAGTCGATGACGAGTTTCCTGTATTTCAGATACGTTGGTACGACTTTGTTGTTGTAGAAGGGAAGCACCTTGTTCTTGTAATAAGGAATGACTTTAACTTTGTACATCTCAATGCCCTTTTCTGCTGTTTTGTTGATCCATAGGCTTGTAGCGTTGAATTTAACCATGGTCCAGTTGCTAGCAACCTTCCATGCCTTGATGGTCATGTTTCTTGCAATCATAGTGTAGTTCTTGGCAATGATCTTAATCTTTTCGAAAACTACGGTGTAGTTCTTCTTCAGTTCAATAGCGTACTTTTTTACAAGCAGAGTGTAGTTTTGAACCTTCATGGTCATGTTCTTGTATAACACTTTGCCAACTGCAACCCATTTAAGAGTGATCTTCTTAACTTGTAGTGTCATGTTTTCAACTTTAAGGGTGGTGTTCATAGCAAGCTCAAGGGCCTTGAAGACATGTCGGTGCTCAACAATTTCCCTCAATTTCATTTGCTTGAAATCATTGAATCCCTTCTTGAGAGCTTGTTTGGTGTCCTTGACCATCTTCTTTGCYTTGGCGACCAATTCCTTAGCCTTGACCTTCAGTTCTTYGGTCTTGATCTTCAGGATTTCGACCTTCTCTTTCAACTTCCTCACTGCATAATTTACATTGGTCTTTCCATATGTGACGAGGTTGCTGCCAAACTCTGCGATTTCGTGTTGCTTCATTTCGTTAAGATAATCACTCCAGATCTCATGCATRATGATTTGTTCAACAGGTGTATCCTTGATCAATTCTTGGAACTTGCTTGTGGCATCATCGTAAATGGCCTTCATGTATCCCTTTGGATCTGCCATGATCTCTTCTTTCTTCTGTTTGATCATACCAGGGAGAGTCACGTTCAGGTAGAACAAAGTCTCCTTGTATCTGGCCTCAAGTTTGGGTCTGGTTTCTTGGATAAATGATTTTATTTTTTCGATGGTGGAGTTGATCTTGGCAATGAGCTTGGCGTATCGTTCTTTGATCTGGTGCTTAGCCATGAACTCTTTGAAGTCTTTGCGGTTTGTTATGTTGCGGTAGAGAGCGATGGTGAAATTCTTGGCTTTGTTGATGTTCAGCAATGTAAAGTTCTTTGCTTTCTGGATTTGGTGGAGTGTCATATTTTGAGCTTTCTTCATCAAAGGAATGGACATGTTCTTCATCTGGAGGAATAACACCATGGTTTTATTCTGGGCGATCTTGGCATATGGCGAGAAAATTACAATCAGTTGTTTGCCAGCGATCATGGAAACATTCTTGGTCTGGTTGTAGACTGACATGACTTCAAGAGTAATGTTTCTGAGAGTCTTGTTGGCAATGGCCAATTGKGCTTGTGCTTTAGCCTTCACTTTCTCCACTRCAGCACTAACTTTCTGGTTGACAGCACCATAAGCTTCGTTGTAGAGTTCCTCGACTGTCCTTTCCTTGTTGTCAGCATACCATTGTTTCAGGTCGCTGATAGCCTTCCTGGTCATTTCCTGGCTTCTATTGTAAACTTTGATGACAATCACTTTGCCTTTTCCAAAGTACACAATCAATTTAGGCCTCACAGTCGTGTTCAGGTAGTTTAATCCACGGATGGTGATGTTGCGGGTCTTGTTGAAGAGCTGCATGGTCATGTTGCGTGACATATGGAAAGCCTTGAYGGTCATGTTGCGAGAGATTTYGTAGTATGTCACAGTCAGGTTCTTGGTGATGTTGAAGATTCTAAGGGCGTGGACACGACTAAGGTTGTAGTACTTTACAGCCATAACCTTGGTCAGATTGTAAGCTCTCAGGGTAATGTTTCTGGTCTTRTTATAAAGGTTCAATACCTTGATGCTGTAGTTCTTGTACAAAGCAACTCCGTAGGTCTTGGATATTTGGTATGCCTGGACTCCCATCTCTTCGAAGGTCATATTTTCATACTTTCTCAGCTTCTTGATGATGGATTCTAGTTTAACCATCAGTTTTTCCTTCATCTCTACCATTTTTTTGTCCATCTTCTTCTTCAAATCAGTTGTTTCACTCAGGACAATTTCGTATACATCAAGGGCAACAGACTTGTAAAACTCGTAGGTTTCTTTAGAGTCTTTCTCATGTTCCTTGTAGAACTCAGCCAGATATTTGATTGCGTTTTCATACCCCTTTTGGATCTTGTTCAGGCTCAGTGTTTTGTATGCGTTTGCACTCAAAACAGCAGTATTCCAGTATTTGTTGTGCAAGTTGTACATTACAAAAGAGGTGTTCTTGGCAATATGGAAGTGTTTCATAGCAACTGTTTTGGATCCCTCGATGATTGAGATGAGTTCTTTCACAAAGTCCTCACGAGTGACTTCCATGCGAACGAGTTTCATTGTAAGGTCGAAAGCTCTCTCTCCAAGCTTAGCAATCTCCTTCAGTTCTCGGAGGATACGGAGGCCATGGTTGTTGGCGCGTTCTTTGACTGCTAGTGCACGTTCTTTCAAGTTAAGGGATTTGAAGTGTTGCATGTATTTCTCAACAGTCTTGTTCCACTTGTCACCGAGGGCGAGAGAACTGAACCTGTTGACGAGATCAATCTYCTCCCATACTTTCTTGGATGGGGTGGTGAAGTCCAAATCCTGGATTTGCTTAGCGATACCTTTAACTTCTTTGGACATGTTTTTCACRAAAGCTGTGACGTTCTGGATATAGACTTGGATTTTCTGGATAGAAAGCTCAACTAAATCTTCTGGTCGAGAGKTCAAGACCTTCTTGATGTTCTTTTCCAAGGCAATCATGGATTCCTTGTAAGTGGTAAGGGCTTTCTTTGAGGAATTGAAAGTGTATTCAATGGATTTGTTGACAAGATGCTTGGTGTGGTTTACGAGCTTGAGRACCTTGACGATGGTGATGTCGATCATCTCTTCTGGCGTCTTCTTGGATAAATCTTTCAAGAACTTCACAATGGTGGTGACGTTGCTTGTAATGGTGTGGTTTAGTTCCTTGAACATTCTAACTGCTTCATCAACTGTGATCTTAACACTCTTGTSGAGGGCAAAACCAATGGGGATCTTCTTGATTGTGATATTCAAAATCTGATTCATCAGTTCATTTGCAAATGGTACCAATGGCTTGAGCATAGGCTTGTTGAAAATCATAACATCTTCATAAACCCCCTTTACAAAGGCTACCATGGGTTTGGTGTTTTCAAAGTATGTCAAGATCTGTGGTTTRGCACGGTTGTAGATGGAGATGGAGATCTTCACGACGAGAGACGTCAGAGGCTTGGTGTACTTTTGGACCTTTGTGGAAGCCTTCAAGAATCCTTGGCTTACCTTGGTTGTCATGATTTCTGTGAATTTTTGAACGTCATTGGAAACATTACGCACCAGATGAATGGCTTGGATAGTTGCATTTCTCAACATCTTTGGTGTCATCTTGACGAGTTTGACAGACATGATTTTTATTTGAATTCTCACATTGTTGGCTTTTTCTATCAAAGAGATAAGGTGCTTTCCAACGGTCTTGTCAAGGATCTTGATCTTCATAACTTGACGAGAGATGTTCAGAGCAATTCTTGAGATGTTGTTCCAGGTGCACTTGAGTTTGAAGTCACAAGTGAATTCGCGGACTYTCGTCACGTACTTGTCAACCAATTCCCCAATATTTTTCTGACGGATTTCCAAGCGGCGAACTTTTTCAATCAGCTTCTTCAGTTGGAGAGTGATGTTTTTCTTCAATTCTTTCTGGAGTTCCATAACAGTCTTCACAACGCGCTTAACCATGGTGTTGATTTTAACATTGCGGATCTTGATATCGCCAACCATTACTGAAACGTTGTTGCCCCAGGATTTAAGGTCGCGGCTAATGTTGGTAAGATGTTCGACAATCTGRGCAGTGATCTTTGGAACTTTGGCCATCATCTCGGCGCGAATCTCCATAACTTTTGCTTGGACTTTCTTGAACAATTCAGTTGCATTGCGGACAATCTTGGGGAGATCTTTCACACTTTTTGCCAGAGTCTCAAAGCTGATGTTGTAGGCTTGTGAGCTGAAGTTTAATGCCTTGATGCTGATATTTTTAGCAATATAGCTGAAGTTTTTGTATGCTCCGTTGTAGTCGTAGCTCTTGACAGCATTGTAGAATTTCATAACTTGGGGCTTCAGCTTGTTCTTTGCGTCGTTCATCAGAATGTCGATTTTCTTGGTCAGGTTTTTGGCTCCAATCAAAGTCAAGTTGTAAAGCTTCATTGTAGCATTGACCACCAAAGGCTTCAAAGACTGAACTTTGCTAACAACATAGTTGACGGTTGTTGTATTCCATGTGAGGAACACACGGCTTGCCTCTGGACTGAGTCTGTACATGATTCTTGACTCATTCACGATGTTAACTCCGAGCTTTCTTTGCAGGGTGATCTGAAGTTCGTGGTTGTTTGGCATTTCAGCAACCATCTGTCCAGAAATTTTGGATGTTAAAGTTGCGTTGTAGATAATGTTTCTGTTCTTTGGGTCAAGCTTGAGGAACCAACCAGTCATCCATTGATTGCAGGTCAAGTGAGCACTTACAACGTAAGCCTTGATGTCGAATCGTCCAACAAATCCAATTCGTCTGTTTCTGATTTTGACACTGACGTTGAGTGTTTTGGTGTTGACGTCGTAGCTTTCCARGAACAAGACTTTTTCTTTCAAGATGGTCAACTCCGAAGTCCATGACTTGGTTAGGTTTTCATAGAGTGCATTCCATTTGAGAGACTTCTTAAGAGCAGATAATTTAGTGTTGATCTTCAGCCCTTTGACGAGGTCCCAGCTTGCTTCAAAGGACATTGGTTTCTTGGGAATCAATTCCATAGAAATGTAGAACTTTCTCTGTTCCTTGTTGATTTCGAGTTTGTGCGACCATTCCTTTTCAAAAGCCTTGATCTTTGAAGTGATGAGAAGACCGTTCTTTCTGGAGAACTGCCCATTGAAAGTAATTGACTTTGTAATCATTCCATCGTAGGACTCGTAGTTTTTGAGGTAACGGAAGTAGCTTTCAATGTTTCTGTTGAAAGCGCTGGTGCTCATACGTACGTAGAGACCTTCATCTGTATTCCATTCAAGAGTGTTGGTGATTGGTATTTTTGGTAAAAGTTCTACTGTTRTTTGGATCATCTTGCGTTCTTTGTACCACACAATACTGTGTTGGACAGTTTTCCTTGGAAGATATTCTACGTCTAAGCCAGTAGATAGTGTTTTTTCGTCATTGCTGATCTTGCCAGTCATCGAAAYTTTCTTTCCTTTAGAGTACATCAAAGCTATTTTTAACTGGTGATCCATTCTGGACTCGTAAGAATCATTTACGTGTAACAGATCCCAACCATATTCGAAGCTGCGACTGAAAACTGTAAAGGATTGGACAAAGTTTAGTTCTCTCCTCTTCGAGCTCTGGCTCTTGTAAGTTAGCAGGGAGCTGGCATAGAACATGTTCTTTGATTCATTACGAATCTTGTACAGCATTTCGAATTCCCTAGCACCGTCACGCAGTCTGTACTCTCCTTGAACGACGCCAACATAACGTCCAATGCGATTGCGGAGCTTGAGTATCTTCTGATTGGTCAGGTTGTGGAAGACCAGTAAAGAACTAGCAACATAAGTTTTGTTCCACATCAGATGCATTGAAGCTTCTTTGAATTTCTGTTGGTTGATGAATACTGATTTCAGCCCCATGGTTCTCTTTAAAACTGTGAGATTGAATCCTACAGCTCTCTCAGACTTTTCTGGACTACTTTCCATGTACCATTTGGCATCAACAGATTTGTTTGCAATGGTCATGTTCAATCCTAAGGTTTTCAAGGTGTCAGTATAMAGACGGCTCATCCAGGATTCAAGGTAGATGGTCTTGTTGTACTTGGCAGTCAGACGAAGGGAACGCAAGTGTGGTTGTTCAATTCTTTGGGCCTTGACTTCGGCTGTTCTGTTCAGCATGCTGACATTGAAGGCAATRCTCTTGTCCATGGAACTGTTGGAGAAAGCCATGCAGATTTGTCCGTATGGGCGGCTTGAGAACTCAGAGTGAACACAGACGCTCTTGAATGTAGTCAAGTTCTTAAGTGCAGCAACCAGAGCCATACTATAGTTTTGGTAGCTTCCGCTCATCATTATCTTCTTGTCATCACCTTCTTTGATCATCTGTGAMATCAATCCAATGGATCTGTTCAAAGCGCTAGCATTGAATCGCACTCCGATGCTATCGGCAAGCTTGAAGTAAGCCAAGGTGGCAAGGGCTGTTCTATTCAAAACCGTTGTGTTGAATTTCAGTCCCTTTTCCGAAGGAGTGTTGAAGTAGGTCCATACACCTTCAATGTTCTTGTTCATTGCCTGGGCATTGAAGCGGAGTCCTTTCTCAGAGTCGTGGTTGAAGTACGTCCAGTTGGCTTCAGCTTTCTTGTTCAAGACGGTGGCAGCAAAGTTGAGCACTTTCTCTCGTTGGGTGTTCAAGAAGATCCACCCTGCCTCTACTGTCTTGTTTTGAATAGTTGTGTTCATCTTCAGGGCCTTGATGTTATCAAAATACGAGTACATGAGGAAGGTGGATGCGGATTTGTTAAATCCTTTAGCATTAAATTGCAAGGCTTTCATTGTTGGYTGATTGAAGAAGGTAGAGACGAATTCCATTGTCTTGTTGAGAACAGTAGCGTTAAGCTTGATGCTCTTTTCTTGAGGAAGATTCAAGAATGTAAGTGCTGACTGGATGGTTTTATTGAGGGCTGAAGCGTTGAACTTGAGGCTTCTTTCTGCATTCGCCGTCGAGTAGCTCCAAAAGGCTTCCATTGTCTTGTTGAGCRCAGAAGCATTGAACTTGACAATTCTGTTGTTGGTAAGATTGAGGAATGTCCACGCAGCTGCAACGGTCTTGTTAAGGCCTGAGGCGTTGAACGTCAAGCTCTTTATGTTGGTAAGGTTGACAAATGCCCACTCAGCATTGAAAGATTTCTTCATGACGTTGGCATTGAATGTCACGCTTTTCTTGTTGGAATTTCTGTTGTCGTACGACCAAACTGCTTCCGCCTTCTTGTTAAAAGCAGAYGCATTCATTCTGATGCTTCTAAGACCATCTTTGACAAGGTAGGAGATGGCGCTGTTGATTGACTTGCCAACTGCAGAACTGTTGAACTTGATGCCTTTCTCGCTTGTGTAGTTGAAGAAGGTCAGTACGGTTTCAAAAGGTTTTCCYAGAATGGAAGCATTGGTCTTGATTGATTTCTCGTTGGTTTGGTTCGAGAAGCCTGTGTACCACGCAAACACTCGGTTCTTGTTATCATGACTTGCTTTGAAGTGGATCCCCTTCTCATTTTCTTGGGCTACATAAGAGCTGCGCAGGGTGAACGACTGTTTGCATGGTAGAATATAAGACCTCAAGATAGCCTCTTTCTGTACCTTATTCATCACACCATCGACTTCAACACTGATATTCTTGAAGCCGCTGGAGATGTTGAAGAGAAAGGTGTTTTCATGTTTGTTCAGTTGACCATTGAAGCGCACTGACGTCTTTGTGCAAGTGTGGTTACCGAGGAACTTGAGGCTCTTGGCAGAGATGTCCACTTCACCGTTGGAATAGAAGTACTTTCCTGGCCAGTAAGTCATGTTGCTCACGAATCCATACGTGTTGGACCTGTTGTAGATCTCTGTAAGTTGGGTAATGGTGTAGTTCTTGTACATGGCAGACCAAGTGGTTCCAATACGTCGTTCTCGGGTGAGAGGATTTGTCTTGTTGAAGTACTGAGCGTTCAGGGCAATGCGGTTTCCATAGATAACATCTTTAGCCTCAAAGGTCAGGTTGATAGCGTTGGTGTAGTTGTGATAGCTACCAGACAGGTTACCAAACTTGTAGCCAAGGGCACCAGTGGAGATGCTGAAGGATTTCTTTTGGTCTTTCAACCACAGAGAGGCATTGGCTTCAAACTCGCGTTCCCACGTGGCGTTTGGAGTTGAGATCCGTGCTATGATGTCAAAGTTGTTCTCATCTTCGGTAGGGAGTCGTTGTGCAACGATTTGGTACACGCGGAGCTTGAGATCAGTTGGAATGACTGACATACTGAACGAGGCAGGTCCAGACAGAGGGAAAAATGGAGCTTGGATGTCACGGAATCCAATGGGGAGTGACATGCGACTACAAAATGCCAAGCCGAGGACGCGAGTGAAATTCATGCATGGTGCAGGCTGGAACAAAAATAAAGAGACCAGAATTAGATATGGAATATTGATAATGATTGAAGAACATCTTCTATATCTGATATAGATCACTGTCATGACTTTTGATTTTTTAAATACAAATTTCCGATGCTTGCCTCAAAGCGTCTCTGGGTTCCACGAATCTGGATTTTCTTCTCATGTAGAGTTGCAAATAAGCTGGATCTATAGAACAAAACGTGCAAGATTAGTAAAAGATTATCTATAAGAACAATAAAGAATCAAAAAATGAACTTTTTTATGGATGTTTAAAGATTGGAAACTTACGAGACATTGAAGATCTGGACTGGCTTGGATGGGGCGCCAAGTTCAAACTTGAGCTCTTGTCCTTGTTTGTAAGTGGCGTTGCCTCTGATTTCCGTTGAGGTGTACATAGAGGTGTTAAGAAGAATGCCAGCCTCTGCAAGGGATGCATCGACTCTCATGCGCCCAGCTACTTCTACTACCGCACTGAAATATCAAATAAAAGAAAAATGAGTTTTCTAAAATGATTGACAAGATGACTGACAAGAAAATATTAGGTGACCAAAAGAAATTTAATGAACAGATTTTTTTWTTTACCTTGGTTTCATGTGTCCACGAACGTCAAACGCCATTGGTCCCCAGAACATATTTCTRATGTCAAACTTTCCGTTCATCAAGACTGATACAACAGTGGTACCCTTAGCTTCAAGCTTCAGGGGCAGACCAAGAATCGTTGGGATTGTTGTTTCAGCATCGAGGAACATCATGCTCTTGGTGAAAGTCTTGTTGCCTCCTCGTGCGAGCTTGATCAGGAAATCAACCATGTTGATGTTGTCAGCTTCAGACTGGAGCCAGTTGATGTCATCAAAGCTTGCGACTCTCATTTCGTTGCCAAACAGGTTGACTGAAATGGCACCAGATGGGGTGTGCTTGCGGTTGTCCATCTGAAGAAAAAAACGTTAGAATTTAGTTTAAAAAATAGACTGCACTTKATTACATGACAATAACATTTCAGTTAAGAAAAAAACAGGGACTGCAGACTCAAAAMAAGAAAGAGAATGAAAAAAAGGACGAAAAGAAGGGCGGGAGAACTGAAGAAAATGATGGAATGAAGGAAGGAATAAAAGAAAGAGAGAATAAAAGTGAAGTAAAGCAAGTAAGAAATGAAAAATGAAAGAAAAAATACTCATAAAATAGGAAATAATATTAGCCTTATTTGCAGAATATTTACCTTAGCATGCAATTCATTGAGGTGTTTCTCYACTTTGTTCATTGAAAGATCATCAACACTTCGTTTTCCTCTAATAGGCTTCTCTTCCTCTCCGCGCTGATCGTGTGGCTTCAAGTTATTGAACATGCCCATGATACGGTCATCTGGGTAGTAACCATCACGTCCAAAGAACTGCTCGATCAGAGTTTCAAAGCCCTCAAATCTAGCTGCTGCTTCCAAGACGTTGATAGAAGCTCCAAGGACGTCGACGGTAAGGTTGACATGGGTGCTGCGTGGGAAGTAGCTGTTGGGGTGGTAGATCACGTGACCTTGTAATGAGCCACCAGCTCGAAGGATGTCTAAAAATGACAATTCATGCAATTTAAATTAAATAAAATAAAAAGAGAGAAGTGATGGCTTAAAAATCCAATCCTCTTGACTTGCCAGTCGAATTTTAGAAAATAGTTATAGAAGTATGAAAATATTACTGCAAATATCAATCGTTTTAAACTCCGAATTAAAAATATCCTGAAGGATGAATTCCAAGCCACAATGCAGAAAAACAGACTCGAATACTTTAGTACTGAATTTTTAAATGCATTGAATAAAAAAGTTATTTCGAGCAAAATGCCAGTTTAAGAAATACTGAAAGACAGGCACTGAATTCGACATTTTTCTACCAAAAATGACAATAACTGCTGCATCAAATACCTGACGTTTACTTAAGGATCTCCATTCAAAGATTTTTGAGCACTGTAAAGACTTGGAGCGACTTAAATTCATGTGATTTTTGTACTCAATGCTTTCACTGAATTTCCCTCTGGTTTCGTCCGCCATTTTGTTTTGTGAGCCCGCAAGCGCAACGATAAGCGGAGTAAAATTAAATTTCAGAGCGAAAATTTTCGAATAATTATTAACGAACCAATTAAATTTGTCAATCTTGATTGAATTCTATTCTAAATATAAAGCAAAATCTTAAAAACTTACCGTTATAATAAGATGCTTCCCAAGCGCGTGAGAACCTCAAGCGATTCAGGTTGAATTCACGAAGAATTTGTCCTCCAAGAGCTTTGCGGATCATGTCTGCCAAGGGGCGACCGTGGAGAGGTTCAGTTGATTCCATGGCATTGGTGATGTGTGACCAGACGAARGAGCCAACCTGCTTGTTAACTTCATCCCTTTGGATCTTTGCAATACGTGCGAAAAGTTCAACACTTGGGCATTTGAGAAGAGMAAGGTATGCTTCGATTCGGGTTTCTACATCAACGTCTTGGTTTTCGTAGATGTTGAAAAGTCGTTCAGTGGTTAATTTGCTGCATGGCATTCGGCGAARKGCCTTCAGCGCTGCGAGAGTCATGTTGGTTGGTAGGCTCTGGTTATTGGCACATTTCATGAGAATGAACTGTGAATTCTCAGACGAAGGGCGACCGGCATTGCCAATTGCTTTTAAGGCCATGATGACACGTTCAGCCTGCTCTGAATTTTGGAAATCGCATTTCTTTCCTAACAGACCCATTAACCATTCTTCAGCCTTGACAATTGCTTTGACATCCTRTAATAAATTTTAACACAAGATTTAAGATTTTAACTCCAAGTTAAGTTAAGTTTAAAAACAATAAAGGCATCAAAAACTCTAACAAAACAATAAAGCGTTATAACACTAACGTACCAATCTGTTGCATTTTCCATCCTCGCAGAGCTTGTGGATCAATGTACCAAGAGTCAGCATACAAGTTCGACTTGATTTGACCTGGCAGAGCCGTAAGACGTGTTCGATCATTTCCTCTGTGGGCACAGATACCAGTGCAAGTCCTGTCAAGAACATGTTGCCACGTTCACCATTGACAAGTTGACGCTCAATGGCACGACTCATTACTAGAGCGCATCCAGACGAACCACAATGAGGGAGGGCGTCTAGGAGATACATTCTAAACAAAATTGAAAGAACAAGAAACTGTTAAAGCAAATTGATTAGTCTATAATTAAACGAAGCTGTTTGAATGTTTTCGAAACAACTGTTCACTGTTCAGATATAAAGTATGCTTCAAGACTCAAAGATACATTCTAAACAAAATTGAAAGAAACAAATTGKCAATGCAAATTGATTATTCTATAATGCTAAACTGTTTGAACGCTTTCGAAATAACTGTCCACTGATCAAACATAAAGTATGCTTCTTGCAATCTCGATTTGTGCAAACATATTGTGTTGGATGGAACCAAGTAATTTCCCAGTAAGTATACACTGATACTTACTGGAATTTGTCTTTCTCTTGAGGAGTGCATTTTTCAAACTTGTCGCAGTCGAAGATGCTATCCCAGACTTTCTCCACAGCTTTTCTGTCCAACTTGCGCAGATGGAAAATCAAGTGAGAGAAAAGACGAGCTGATTCTGGTTTTGTTTCTTCGATGGATTCGCGAGCCAACTGCTTGATGATTTCTATCACTTTGCCCGATTCCAGGCTTTTTGGGTTTGGCTTGACGTGCTCGAAAGTGAGTGGAGTACTTCGAGGAAGACCTGATTGTAAAAAAAAAGAAGGAAAGCCAATAATTGAAAAGAGTTTTTGACATTCAAAAAGTCAAAGAGAGTAAAATTGATGTATATGAMAATATTTATTACATACGTTTTGTATCATATCCATACTCAATGGGTGCTTTTGTCATTCCCTGAAGCTCCAGAACTTGCCTAAGAGAAAAGGTTGAAAAAGAAGAGTAAGTTAACGAAATTTGAGAAGACAACAATTTCTCTCTTTGGACACTGACTTTTTTAATTTTTAATTTCCCAAACGATAAAATAAATCAGGAAATTTACTTGATGGTGGTAGATGCACCAGCTGGAGCTCCTGAGGAGAAGGGTCTGAACAGGTGCTTCTCTTGGCACACAACTTTCGTGATACG